TGGATAAACTTACTGAACCATTCCTATTTATAGGGGAAAATCAAGATTGCTTGGCTCGTATCGTATCATATCGACATGGTCAAAGGCAGGTGGGCTGCTGCTTCTACAATAAGAAAGAGCACGTTTACAGACATCTAATGCTTAAAAAATTTCACAAGGAGTTGCTTGGTTGCTTCAGTCCGCAGAATAACTAAAAAAAAAATCATCCAGTCCCTTGGCCCATTCAGTTTGTAGCATCGTAAGGGCGAACGTCATTCCAGTTTAGAAATTTCAGGTTATGATCTTTCAATTTGGGTTTGGGTTGGGGAATAGGTTCAGTTAAGAGTTTGGGAATTTACCAGCACTTATTTGGGCTTTGAACTCTCGGTCCAAAATAAAAAAAATTCTGACAACAGTGAATATGAATAATTTGTTTCAGCTTCGAAGGTTAAGCTTCTAACTGAAAACAGGGGAAAGGATTCTGCGCCTTAAACTTTGAAATTCATCTGTTTTTTACAGGTCCAGTTTCCGTCCAATCTATTAGCGTAGCAATGTGAGAATTAGAAATGTGAAATAAAAAAAAAACCCAGCTTGCTCCTAGCCTCTTTACAGAGCATTACAACCACCAGTGGCTAGATCAATTTGTGTAATTGAGCTCATTTTCTTCACCTCTTTTTTTGTTTCTTGAACTCCCTGGTTGTAATCTTAAGATTATTGACTGTACTTTCTGCTTCCTGGTTCTTTCAATAAATTCAGTAGGGGCGCAAGCCCCTCCTGTTTCTTAAAAAAAAAAAACCCACCAGTGGCAGCGTCTGATTCACATCGACATGGTCCGGTTTTTCGGTGAGGTTGTCAGCGGTGACTAGGAAGAAGAACACGCTCCTGTCGCACGGACAAGGTTGACTAGGGTCAAAAGTTGAACGGGTCCCATGACAGCACACAGATCGGACTACGGAGAGGGCGTTCCCAGTGAATGGAAAAAAGGAGACACTAACAATCAAACACCAAAATTGACCATCCATAGTTTTACTTTTATTTTACCCTACTCATGTGTACCACGTGACTACGTGAGCAATGCCAAAAGTGTACTCCAGTTTAAGAACATCATGGTTGTCACTAACGGTCTTCTACCATACATTTCAATACACTAGAAAGGGTCCGAGCGTTCATGTACAACTTATTGATCCTCTAGGGTGCCATTAAGGCTTGTTGTATTGAACATTTTATCCACATTAATACAAAGACGCGCAAACTTTTTGCGTGATCGAGAAAAAACCATACATTTCAGTACCGTAAAAAGACAATGCCAAACCTAGAAAATTTGATGAGTCTAGACAAAGAACGGAGTCTAAATAACAAACGCTCAGAAATATAGATCATAGTACAAGCAAAATATAACAACCAGGGTTTTAACTATAATCATATCCAAATTTGTGAGTTAGGACGCAGATGATATCGTCGTGCAAGTTTAGAGACCACTCGTAAAATTTACTCATGTATATTTCATTCTAGATGATAGAAAAAGTTAATGAATAAGAATCTATTGAAGAATAAATATTACTCCTTCAGCCATAAATTGGTGACCTTTTGACCTACTTTGACTAGTGTATATTCATAAAATACAGTGTTAGTCCAAATGTTTAAACGGACTAAATGGTCACTTATAGTTTAGCTATTTATTCAGACCAAATGGTCATTTCAACGGACTAAACAGTGATTAAACAAAATAAATGGCTGATTAAACATATATATGAAACAAAAATTTCAAGAAAAATCCAGTCATATCACTTTAAACACTGAAAATGAATACTACAATAACCTAATTGTTGACTTCAGAACACTTCAAAGAATCACATTTAATTTCGTTCTGCACACACCATTTGTTTTTTTTGGACGAATTGGAGGGCCGAAGGCCCCATAGAGAAATTTTATTAAACCAAGAGAGTCATGAAACAAAGAGAGTTACAAAGGAGCAGGAAGAGGAGAGCAGCATTCGCGATCCGATACATGTCACACCCCAGGTGTTAGTCTCAAGTTAAGCAGTGAGTTTGGATTGAAACAAGTTATATCAAGCGATAATTAGGAGCTCTAGTTCACAACCATGGAAATGGTAACAAACGATGTTGAAGTCTTTTCCCTGAAAATGAGCCCCAGCTTAACAGTTGTGAAGACGAAGGCAAAATTCTTGTGCTTAACGTTAACTCTTTTCAAACCATGCATGAGTAGTGTTAATGATGTTTCCTTCGTATGCATCACCTTGGCATGAGTATCTTGCATTCTTGTCTTGAGCATGAGCATGTTTGAATGCCTTGTGTATGATAGTATGTAATGCTTTAATTTGTGTGCAACCTTTTGTAGTGAGTCTAGCCGAATACTTTTGTGCTGCAATGTCGTGCCTTTTTGACTAATATAACTTTTGAATCACGTCATGATGTGAAGAAAAGAATTGTAGTGATTTTCTTAAGCTTTCCAAAATGGTAGAGAACACCCCTTCGTGGTCTAGAACTCTAGATAAAAATGTCTAAAGCCTAATACTAGAATCTGTCCAAGTCTGGACAGATTTGCTTCTTTTATGTTGTTTGGTCTTGTTAACTATTGAATCATTATGATATGATAATAAGAAAGTTATATAAAATTTAATGAGATTTTCATAAAATTAAGAATCATCTTTGTTGGATGTCTAAAACTTCATATATACATTTTTGAAGTTCATGTCAGTTTTCTGTCCTTACTATGCAGTTCTACTTTCTTGTGGTTTTCACCCTAGTTAACTAATGAATCATCTCTGGGTGTAAATTACAAAGTTGTAGACAATTTCATTAGCTTTCCAGAAAGTCTAAAATCACCTCTGTTGGACATTTGTAACTCCAGTTATGATTAAAACAAGTGCCTACTGTGCTGCTGTCCAGAATCTGTATTGTACCTGTAGTTGATTGCTTTCGTTTTGTATTGCTTGTGTGATTGGTAGTGTTAGCCCATAATTTCAGTGGTGTTAGATTGATCTACCTGAGATGTCTAGTGAACATGTATCTTACTTTATTTATATCTCACCCGCTGGTTATGTGATGCTAAGTTTTGTTAGCTTATGATAGATGCTTGCCCTGTGATAGCTTAACTTGAGTTGATTGTGAATGAATAGTTGCCTTCTTGTTATCCGAGCATGATAGGTTTGTGTGATAGTTAATTATATGGCTTGCTCTCTGGGTGCTTACATCGTTCGTTGTGTCCTCGTGGATGTCTTGTATGTCTTTTAAATGCATCATGTGTTGCTTCCTCAGCATTCATACATCTGTATTTTTGCATCCTATCTAGGTACGCTAGATGTACAACGCGAGAAACCGAAGGATGTGATGTTGGAGCTGAACCCGAAGACGGTGTTTGATGGACCTATCCCGAAGATGGAAGGACCCTTGGAGTGGATGCTTGGAGTGGAGATGTTTCCAAGACGGTGCAAGCTAACTGAACCCCCAGACAAGCCCGGAGCATTCTAAGTCTCATACCCTCTCTTTTTTATAAATGCACATGAGTATAACTTTTGTATGATGCATTAGGTAATAGGAGTTGGGTGAAACTATTGGTGCATTTTGCCCTACCTTGTCCACTATATATAAATACATGTACCCTTACTAGATGAGTAGGTTGATCTATGCTTAGCCATGCTTAGACCGGTAGAAGTGGGGTGATTTCCTGTTACCTGTGAGATATAGGTGGATACCTAGTCACGGTTGGCTATATTTGCTATCGTGAAAAAGAACCATGTGATGCTATATAAATGGAGACCGGTTTTGATGGTGATATGACTTATGTTGATCCCGTCTGTGTTGGTTAAGGATCGTACCGTTGTTGGACCTTGGTCGAGATTGAACGCCGCCTTTCACTTAGCTGGTCGGATAAGTCGTTCCAACCGCGAAGCCGAGTAGCTCTATTTGGGTGGGGAATCCGATATGTATGTCGCGCATACTGGAGGTAGGAAGGATGTGCGGGGACACGGATATGACCATGGGTAGGCTAGGCCTGAACGTCCTGGCAATCGGTTGGTCCCTGAGTATGCGGCTGAGCTTGGACCCGCGAAATGTGACCCGAATAGTACCAAAGGTGACCTAAGGCGACTCATGATCAGGTCTGCCAGGGTTTGTGATATGGATTTTCTGCCCAGCTGGATGCAATCGATTCGAATCGCCGTCTCTCCCGGATAGCGAGAAACCTGGTCACTATCTAGCATTTATAGTAATACTTGATGAAACATGATGGTTATACGGATTATATGATAAACTGGATATGGTTATTACTGCGATGCTTATTAATGTTAATCAAGTGATTGCTATAGGAGAGGTGCAAATTTAGCTATAATAAGCTTCACTGTACTTGATGCTAAAATCTTGAATAAAATACTGAAAGCAAGGACTTATGATAGTAATGCTCTTTTGCAAAGTTATGCTATCCAATCAGCTCCACCAAATAAGCCTTGCATATCCTTAAGAGTCTTTTTATTTCTCTCATGTCAGGTAAGTATAGCTGAATACATTCTAGTACTCAGGGTTTTCTCCCACCATGTTGCAGGTAAAGATTCAGCCTGCTGAAGGGTGTGGCTAAGTGCCGGTGGGCTCGGCGACTCCATATTTATTTTTCATCTATATGCTGTAGTTGGAGGATGTCATTATGCTAGCAATATAATTGGAACTTATGTTATTGTAATCATTTCAAATCTATGTTATTTTTGTTAATCGGAATTGAACTCGAATTTGTATTATTTATTTATGAACTCAATTGTAATATTATTTCCATAGCAAACTCCTGTATGTGATGTGTATTTGCTTAATCTATTACGGTCTTGGTTGTGACGTGGATTTACCGATGTCTTTCGTGACATTCGGCGGACTACCGAGTTTATATAAGTGAAAGTACGTGCGTGTCAACGTGTTAGCGGGGGCGGCCCTACTTAATCTTGTATAAATTAGGCGGTTATATCACATACCATACAATATTCCACACGTAAAGACTTGCTCTTTTATTGCATCCAACTACTGCTGCAACATTGTCTTGGCGATCATTTTGTACATCTCGATGTTTTCAGTGAAGTAGGCGACGAGTCGGTCCCTGTCCGGCAGGCAAGGCTTCAGCGCTTCATTGGAATTGTACTCCTTGGACCACTGGCGTAGAGCAGGGAACTCCTTGGCGTCCACCAAGGTCAGTCCAGTCACCTCCTCAAGCACTGAGAGAAAAGGACCTAACGCACTCACGGCTATGTCGACGTAGCCGGCCGTGTCACCACCAAAGAACCTCTTCCCGTCGAGCTGCGCCTCCAGGAGCGCCAGGTTGTCCTTGGCCTCTTTCACCATAGCCTTCTGCGCCTCACCCTCCGCCCAATGTGCCAGCCAGAACGACTTGGAGCACTGTACATGTCCAGGAAAGCGGGGCCACGGCACGGTCAGCAAATGTTCAGATTTCATAAGAACCGAATGAACAGGTGAGGCAGCAGGTTATAACCAACGCACGCAGCATACCTTGTTTTCCATGAAGTCAACCCAGAAACGGGCCATGGCACGGTCATAGGGGTCGGCAGGCAGGAGAGACGGCCCGTCGAAGGCGTCGTCGACGTACTGAACGATGACGAGGGACTCACAGACCGCCAGGTCGCCATGGAGGAGCACGGGCACCTTCTTGTGGACAGGGTTGCTGGCGAGCAGCAGCTCGCTCTTGTTGCTCAGGTCTTCCTCGGCGATCAGCTCGTAAGGCACGCCCTTGAGCAGCAGAGCGGCCTCAACGCGGTGCCCGAATGGGCTCGCGTAATGGCTGATGACCCTAACAGGTGGAGACATGTTTCTTTCTGCTAGTTGGTTTTCCCTGCCTGCGTGCTACTTGCTGCATGTGCTCGGAGAAACTTGCTAAACCATTGCTATTTATAGGAGATAATCAAGATTATATGCTTGGCTCACATTGACATAGTCAAAGGTTTTGATATAATAACCCCAAGATGTAGAGATAGTGTATCATATGCCTTGCATAAGCTGTGACCTCAGCATATCCATACTTAGGCAACTTTGTTCTGAACATAGCTGAACAAGTTTCAGTTTGCATGGCCGTAACGGCGAACGTCATTCCATTAAGGAATTTCAGGTTCTGACCTTTCAGTTTGGTCAGAATTGCCTCAACGAAAATGGATGAGAAGAATGTTTAGTTTAGATTTTTGAGAATGTACTTTTTTGGGCTTTTCAACTTCCGTTCGAAAATATAAACATATCTGACTGACAACAGTGAATATGAAGAATTCGTTTCAACTCTGAAACAGGGGAAAGGATTTTGCCCCTTGAATGTCAAATCGATCTGTTTCTCTTTTTACAGCTCCAATTTCTATCCAAGCTAAACATCCGGTTGGTGCCCGACCCTATTCGCTCAATCAATGGAAATGATCCATCACTTGCTAGAAATTGTCATACACGCGGAAAAGAAACTCAAGCTCTTGAGCTGCGAGCACGGGATCATATTCATATCGGCCGGTTGATGATCGAGCACACGCGATCCATTTCGCGAGCAAGGAAGCTGCCCTGGGTCGATCAATCCGGGTGTATGTTCGTTTAAACTGTGGTTTATTTAGTTTTCCTTTTTGAAATGACAAATGTGAGAAGTCAGTGTCGTCATCGTCTTTGGATGTCTTGCTCCAAATTAAACTGGGTTTGGAGTACTACAATATGGCTTCGCCGACAGTCTTTTGTTTTTCCTTTTCGTGCATGTGAATCCGACGTTTTAACGGCCGGCTCTCAATTGTTGAGCTCAACAGAGACGGGTTGGATCTGGCCACACCCAGACACAGGCCACGTAGCTTGAACAGTTATTCTGCTTCTAATTTGCATCTTCTTCTTCTCTGCATCCTTCCGATTCCAAGTGCTGTTTGTTTAGTTTGAGTTGTGCGAACTTTTGTTTTTGTCCCCAATGCAACATTTCTACTAGTGGCCCTACCTGAAAATCTGTTCAATCCTCATCCTTCCTTCTCAAAAAAAGGAATGGTGCTAACCAACGCATTGGAAGTATTCGCCTTGTTATTTGGGACCGACAGAGGTGGCAGAGTCCAGAGACAATGCATGGCCTCACGGTGGGTTCTCGGCGGCGGCTAAGCGGCGGCGGCTATCAACCCCTGGCCACTTTGATATTATCGCAGCATCTTGTGCTATGGGTAATGGGTTTGATACTTTGATAGTGTAACCATTGAGCACTGCCATAGGGACCGGCTAATCAGGTAGCTCACGAGCTAGCTGCAGGGAAGCTTTTTCTTCGAAAAATTCTTCTATATATCTGGGTTGATGCATGAAACCCCTGGCCAGTTTCATTCTGAACACACTTGTAAACGATGTAACTATTTTATCAGACCAATAAAGCAGCTCACTGAAAGGTATTCCAAAAAAATGAAATCTTTTTTAATACACTTCTCTTATATTTCATATGCCTGAATTTTTAAAGTAAATGTAACACTCTTGTACCGCAAACTAGTACAAATAAATTGTTACAATCGTGATTTGTTATTTGTCTTTGTGTCATACAATTTTTTGTCCTTGTCTGATTATAGAAATAATTGTAACTTGTTAATTGTTTTTGTGCCAGCACAAATCAGATTTTGTCGGGTTTGTAGTCCTGTATAGTGGGTTTTTTATTCTCAAAATAAAAAAATTATAGTTTGTGCCTACAGAAATTACAATGAATTAAACCTGCAATTTTAATATAAAATATATGCAATAAGTATCGCCTAAAATGAAACTCTGAATTTTAGCAAGTCCCGTCCTCCATTAATAAAATGTCCTGTTCAAGAAAAAAAATATCTTTATTTATGAGAAGAATATTGTACTCAAGAAAAGAAAATGTTTTGATTTCTTGAGAAAAATATTTTAGTCTAACAAGGTAACTTATGGATAAGGAAAGTCTCAGTCACGTTCTTACAGCATTGAAGATATAATTTTTTATGTCCTGGTTACACACAAAAACATCCGTGTTTCAAGCTATATATAAGAGAAAAAGCTAGTGTGTGACCATTTTTCTGTATTTATTCTAGGATTTAACGGTGCTATGCTTTCAGTGGTAGACGACGTCTCCGTTGACAGCGAGACGCCTGTGGTGACTTTGTGAATCTCGAGATCTGTCGTCTCAGTCCTTCAAAGATGTTCATAAGGGTAGGGTTTACGTATGTGTGTTCGTAGGGGTGAGTGTACGTGAGTGTTGGGCGTCTACGTTGCACTGTGTAATTCAAAAAAAATGGAAAGATGTATTTCGATATCCCGAGCGGGGAGTGCGTGCAGCTGGATTGGAGGATAGTATGTTCATGTCTGGTTGCCTGGAACCAAATATGGTGTGTTTGGTTCGGGTTTTAGACCTGGTCTGGCTAGCCAACTAAACCAAGGCAACATAAGCCAGGCTCTCCCAATACAAGGGACGGTTATTTGGTTTACTTATCTTAGCTAAGCCTGGCTTAGCCAGGTCATGTGGCTCGGGTACAATCACCTCATCTTCGTTCCGGTAAGATTACCTCATTGAGGCATTCTTGTCCCGGGCACCTCTCGTGTCAGGATGTAGCGCGCCATGCCATTGCAGGTTGCAGCGTCCGGTCATCGAGTCCGAGGTGACACACCCGCAGATGGCCGGCTCCAAGGGCCCCCGCTGCGCCATGGCTGGCTGCGACGGAAGGGTGCTGCCAGAAGTTGCCGGTGATGTCTCGGTCTTGCGGGCCGCCATCGCCGAACCTCTTCCCCATCTTGCCGAGCATGTCCTTCACGGAGGTCCTCTTCGGTGCGGTGGCGGCGCCGCCGGCGGGGGAGGAGATGAAGGGGTTGCCTCCGTAGGTTGACGGCGCGGCGGTGGCGGTGTGATAAGGCGGGGCCACCTCCTTCGGCGACCCCGCCGTCGTGCTCCACCTCCGCTTCCCCCCTCCTCTTCTCCAGCAGGTACTCGCCATGGCCGGGGCTACGGAGCCTCTGCTGGCATCGCAAGGTCGCCATGGCCGGGGCTGCGGCGCTGGCATCGCAAGGTCGCGCGGGGCGGGTGCAGCGCGAGGCTGCGAGCCAGCGCCGACGATGGCAGGGAGCGGCGGTGGATGGAAGGTGCGGCCGGTGGATGGAAGGCGCGGCCGGAGGTGGAGGACGACGGTCTTGTGCTCAACCGGAGGTGGAGGACGGGCGGACGGCGTGGTCTGCGAGCACAGGTGGACAGTGAGGCGACGTGGTGCCGTTTCCTAGCCAAGCCTGGCTAATCGGAAACGGCCGCCCCTTGCGTTTCCGCGGAGCCTGGGCAGCGAGTGCTCGGTGCATTCACAGAGCCAGGCCACGGGCTTTTCCGGGGAACCAAACAGGCCCGACCTTGTACTACTGGAGCCTGACGTTGTTCTTCTGAAAAAAGAAAGAAAGAATGAATGAATGAACGGTCGTTTAGGCGCCGAGCTTGGGAACTCGCCGTTGACAAGGGTCACCCCGGCGACCTCCTTGACGACCCCAACCCGGTGCGCCGCACCCCTGGCTCGCTCTTGTTGCTCAGGTCTTCCTGAATCAGCTCGTAAGGCACGCCCTTGAGCCGCAGAGCGGCCTCGACGCGGTGCGCGAATGGGCTCGCGTAATGACCGATGACCCTAACAGGTGGAGACATGTTTCTTTCTGCTAGCTGGTTCTTGCTGCTTGCTGGTATCTGCTTGTGCTTGGAGAAACTTGCTAAACCATTGCTATTTATAGGAGATAATCAAGATTGCTTGATATAATAAACCTAAGATGTAGGGATATAGTGAATCATATGCCTTGCATAAACAGTGACCTCAGCATACCCATATGTGGGCATTTTTTGTTCTGAACATACCTGAACAAGTTTCAGTTTGTGTGGCCGTAAGGGCGAACATCATTCCATTAAGGAATTTCAGGTTCTGACCTTTCAATTTGGTCAGAATTGCCTCAACAAAAATGGATGAGGAGAACGTTTAGTTTAGATTTTGAGAATGTACTTGTTTGGGCTTTTCAACTTCAGTTGCAAAATACAAGGACATCTGAATGACAACAGTGAATATGAAGATTTTTTTTTCTCGAATACGCAAAAGGTTTGCACATCTTTGTATTAAGATCGAGAAATAGTGAAAGTTACAACGACGCGCCACAAACATGGCACACGGGAGGGTGTTAGTGTTATACAATCGGCTCTGCCCTCCCTAGCGTAAGAAGATCATGGGCTATTACTCGTTAATCATACTACGTAGCCATCATCGGCGATCAGACGCGCTCGCATGCGCGGTGCCTCAGTCGCTCTCTTTGTGGGTCTGGGAAGAGCTGTCGCATTGCCTCAGCATGTGAGAGGTTGAGCTGGTCGAATACGAAGAATTAGTTCCAACTTTGAAACAGGGGAAAGGATTTTGCCCCTTCAAGCGTCAAATCGATCTGTTTTTTTTACAGCTCCAATTTCTATCCAAGTTAGGACCGTATCCAGTACATTAGCGATGTGAAAAGTAGTACATTACAACAAGTTCAGTACATAGTATAGTATACATTACAGCAATTTCTACACTGCGAACAATGATAAGTACAGGCTGGTGGCCAAGGCAATATAGTGTTGTACTTGTCACTTTGTCAGTAGTTTGGTTCAACAATTTGTAGTCTTTTCTGCGTGTGCAAATGGAATAAGGTCATTATAATTTCCAAGCACCACAAAATCTGAACAATGATAAGTACAGACAACAGACTGAATTGAATGTTCCAGCGGTAATTTTGTTACACTTATTATATTGTCAAGTAAAACAACTTTAGGAACAATGAAACCAAATCACTAGCGCAGAGCAGCCCTGGCTCGCAGCAAGTACATCTCC